TTTGACACACTTCGACTGCCAAATTTTTGAACACTGTACATAGCAATCATACGTAAGCATGAACAACATTGAATAAACTGGAATAAACTGGGATTCAGAAATGACGGCAAGGTCGCAAGAGGTGCCTCTCTAGCCCTTCTCCATGAACTTGTGGTGACAGCCAATTTGTAAGTTTAATAAGTGTAAACAGACACTCTCTCTCTCTCTCTATAGTTATACAGTTATACAGATGTATACAGATGCTGCAGTTGATTGTGTCAAGATCATGTCGTACCTATTCAAATGTCATTGGCTCAAGCCAGTTTTAGCGGCTTCTTTTTTGAGCAACTCCGGCCCACTTTAGACCTTTTGAACTTTTGGTGGCCATGGTCCGTGGAGCAAGGAAAGCTCTTGCTGTCGGAGTTGCGGTGGCTGTCGCATGCGGTCTCCAGAAGCACTTGAATTTTGTGCCTGGGCCTCGGCATGCTGCTCCAGTGGCCGCAGCAGCAGCCAGCATGATGATGGCTCCTGCGGCTTTTGCTGATGAGATCGGCGATGCTGCAAAGAAGCTTGGTGATGCTTCCTACTCTTTTGCCAAGGAAGTGGACTGGAACAATGGCATTTTCCTGCAGGCCCCTGGCAAGTTTCAGCCCTTGGAAGCTTTGAAAGCCATTGACAAGATGATCGAAATGGGGGCAGCAGCAGATCCAAAGCTTCTGAAGGATGCAGCAGAAGCACATCACAAGGCCATTGGGAGCATCAGCGGGCCAAATGGTGTGACTTCGCGCGCTGACTGGGATGCTGTGAATGCAGCCATTGGCCGTGTAGTCGCTTCGGTCCCCAAAGCAAAGGTCATGGCCGTTTACGATTCAGTGAACGCCATCACGGACCCCGGGGTGCCAGCGTACATGAAGTCCTTGGTGAACGGACCCGATGCCGAGAAGGCCTACCAAGGATTCCTGGAATTCAAGGATGTTGTTGAAAAGAACCAGGTGACCACCGCCAGTGCTCCTGCAGTTGTGCCTTCTGGGGACAAAATTGGTGTAGCTGCAAAGGCGTTGTCCGATGCATCCTATCCTTTCATCAAGGACATCGATTGGCTGTCGGACATTTACTTGAAGCCGCTGCCCGGCAAGACTGCTCCAGAGACGCTGAAAGCCATCGACAAGATGATAGTGATGGGTGCCAAGATGGATGGAAACCTCTTGAAGGCAGCAGCAGAGGCACACCACAAGGCCATTGGCAGCATTTGATGCCACTGGTCTGTTTTGTGCGTCTGGGCCCGACTACGAAGCTGTTGTGAATGCAGCCATTGGCCACTTGGTGGCATCGTTGCGAAGACAAACGTGATGGATGTGTTACAATTCCATGGGCTGGCCGTGAGGTGATTCCAGCGTCCCAAACAACTTGTTTTTTTCGAAGGTGAACCCCATTGGATGGCCCAGCAGTGGCTGCCCGCCAAGGGTTCTACACCTTCAAGGAGTTGTGGAGGCTTCCCAGCGCTGAAAGTGAAATAAGGACCATCGAGGCATGAAGTTGCGACATTGTTTCAACATGCTTTAGCACACTTTTTAAATGTTGTATAGATACATAATGTTACGGACATTTGTAACAGTTCCTTGACATTTCTTGACCCAGAAGCCTCTCAAGCCATGGGAAGAAAAGCAAGATGCGCGACAAACGCTGTCAGATGCAATGCCAAACGGAGCAAAAGTGAACTCGGTAGATTACTTTGACACACTTCGACTGCCAAATTTTTGAACACTGTACATAGCAATCATACGTAAGCATGAACAACATTGAATAAACTGGAATAAACTGGGATTCAGAAATGACGGCAAGGTCGCAAGAGGTGCCTTTCTAGCCCTTCTCCATGAACTTGTGGTGACAGCCAATTTGTAAGTTTAATGAGTGTAAACAGACACTCTCTCTCTCTATAGTTATACAGTTATACAGATGTATACAGATGCTGCAGTTGATTGTGTCAAGATCAAGTCGTACCTATTCAAATGTCATTGGCTCAAGCCAGTTTTAGCGGCTTCTTTTTTGAGCAACTCCGGCCCACTTTAGACCTTTTGAACTTTTGGTGGCCATGGTCCGTGGAGCAAAGAAAGCTCTTGCTGTCGGAGTTGCGGTGGCTGTCGCATGCGGTCTCCAGAAGCACTTGAATTTTGTGCCTGGGCCTCGACATGCTGCTCCAGTGGCAGCAGCAGCAGCCAGCATGATGATGGCTCCTGCAGCTTTTGCTGATGAGATCGGCGATGCTGCAAAGAAGCTTGGGGATGCTTCCTACTCTTTTGCCAAGGAAGTGGACTGGAACAATGGCATTTTCCTGCAGGCCCCTGGCAAGTTTCAGCCCTTGGAAGCTTTGAAAGCCATTGACAAGATGATCGAAATGGGGGCGGCCGCAGATCCAAAGCTTCTGAAGGATGCAGCAGAAGCACATCACAAGGCCATTGGGAGCATCAGCGGGCCAAATGGTGTGACTTCGCGCGCTGACTGGGATGCTGTGAATGCAGCCATTGGCCGTGTAGTCGCTTCGGTCCCCAAAGCAAAGGTCATGGCCGTTTACGATTCAGTGAACGCCATCACGGACCCCGGGGTGCCAGCGTACATGAAGTCCTTGGTGAACGGACCCGATGCCGAGAAGGCCTACCAAGGATTCCTGGAATTCAAGGATGTTGTTGAAAAGAACCAGGTGGCCACGGCCGGTGCTCCTGCAGTTGTGCCTTCTGGAGATAAAATTGGTGAAGCTGCAAAAGCGTTGTCCGATGCATCCTATCCTTTCATCAAGGACATTGATTGGCTGTCGGACATTTACCTGAAGCCGCTGCCCGGCAAGACCGCCCCAGAGACGCTGAAAGCCATTGACAAGATGATCGTGATGGGCGCGAAGATGGATGGAAACCTCTTGAAGGCAGCAGCAGAGGCACACCACAAGGCCATTGGCAGCATTGATGCCACTGGTGTGACGTCTGCGGCCGACTACGAAGCTGTGAATGCAGCCATTGGCCGCTTGGTGGCATCCGTGCCGAAGACAACTGTGATGGATGTGTACAATTCCATGGCTGGCGTGGTTGATTCCAGCGTCCCCAACAACTTGTTTTCGAAGGTGAACCCATTGGATGCAGTGGCTGCCGCCAAGGGTTTCTACACCTTCAAGGATGTTGTGGAGGCTTCCCAGCGCTGAAAGTGAAGACCATCAGCAGCATGAAGTTGCGACATTGCTTCAACATGCTTTAGCACACTTTTTAAATGTTGTATAGATACATAATGTTACGGACATTTGTAACAGTTTCTTGACATTTCTTGACCCAGAAGCCTCTCAAGCCATGGGAAGAAAAGCAAGATGCGCGACAAACGCTGTCAGATGCAATGCCAAACGGAGCAAAAGTGAACTCGGTAGATTACTTTGACACACTTCGACTGCCAAATTTTTGAACACTGTACATAGCAATCATACGTAAGCATGAACAACATTGAATAAACTGGAATAAACTGGGATTCAGAAATGACGGCAAGGTCGCAAGAGGTGCCTTTCTAGCCCTTCTCCATGAACTTGTGGTGACAGCCAATTTGTAAGTTTAATAAGTGTAAACAGACACTCTCTCTCTCTATAGTTATACAGTTATACAGATGTATACAGATGCTGCAGTTGATTGTGTCAAGATCATGTCGTACCTATTCAAATGTCATTGGCTCAAGCCAGTTTTAGCGGCTTCTTTTTTGAGCAACTCCGGCCCACTTTAGACCTTTTGAACTTTTGGTGGCCATGGTGCGTGGAGCAAGGAAAGCTCTTGCTGTCGGAGTTGCGGTGGCTGTCGCATGCGGTCTCCAGAAGCACTTGAATTTTGTGCCTGGGCCTCGGCATGCTGCTCCAGTGGCCGCAGCAGCAGCCAGCATGATGATGGCTCCTGCGGCTTTTGCTGATGAGATCGGCGATGCTGCAAAGAAGCTTGGGGATGCTTCCTACTCTTTTGCCAAGGAAGTGGACTGGAACAATGGCATTTTCCTGCAGGCCCCTGGCAAGTTTCAGCCCTTGGAAGCTTTGAAAGCCATTGACAAGATGATCGAAATGGGGGCGGCCGCAGATCCAAAGCTTCTGAAGGATGCAGCAGAAGCACATCACAAGGCCATTGGGAGCATCAGCGGGCCAAATGGTGTGACTTCGCGCGCAGACTGGGATGCTGTGAATGCAGCCATTGGCCGTGTAGTCGCTTCGGTCCCCAAAGCAAAGGTCATGGCCGTTTACGATTCAGTGAAAGCCATCACGGACCCCGGGGTGCCAGCGTACATGAAGTCCTTGGTGAACGGACCCGATGCCGAGAAGGCCTACCAAGGATTCCTGGAATTCAAGGATGTTGTTGAAAAGAACCAGGTGGCCACGGCCGGTGCTCCTGCAGTTGTGCCTTCTGGAGATAAAATTGGTGAAGCTGCAAAAGCGTTGTCCGATGCATCCTATCCTTTCATCAAGGACATTGATTGGCTGTCGGACATTTACCTGAAGCCGCTGCCCGGCAAGACCGCCCCAGAGACGCTGAAAGCCATTGACAAGATGATCGTGATGGGCGCGAAGATGGATGGAAACCTCTTGAAGGCAGCAGCAGAGGCACACCACAAGGCCATTGGCAGCATTGACGCCACTGGTGTGACGTCTGCGGCCGACTACGAAGCTGTGAATGCAGCCATTGGCCGCTTGGTGGCATCCGTGCCGAAGACAACTGTGATGGATGTGTATAATTCCATGGCTGGCGTGGTTGATTCCAGCGTCCCCAACAACTTGTTTTCGAAGGTGAACCCATTGGATGCAGTGGCTGCCGCCAAGGGTTTCTACACCTTCAAGGATGTTGTGGAGGCTTCCCAGCGCTGAAAGTGAAGACCATCAGCAGCATGAAGTTGCGACATTGTTTCAACATGCTTTAGCACACTTTTTAAATGTTGTATAGATACATAATGTTACGGACATTTGTAACAGTTCCTTGACATTTCTTGACCCAGAAGCCTCTCAAGCCATGGGAAGAAAAGCAAGATGCGCGACAAACGCTGTCAGATGCAATGCCAAACGGAGCAAAAGTGAACTCGGTAGATTACTTTGACACACTTCGACTGCCAAATTTTTGAACACTGTACATAGCAATCATACGTAAGCATGAACAACATTGAATAAACTGGAATAACTGAAATGACGGCAAGGTCGCAAGAGGTGCCTTTCTAGCCCTTCTCCATGAACTTGTGGTGACAGCCAATTTGTAAGTTTAATAAGTGTAAACAGACACTCTCTCTCTCTATAGTTATACAGTTATACAGATGTATACAGATGCTGCAGTTGATTGTGTCAAGATCATGTCGTACCTATTCAAATGTCATTGGCTCAAGCCAGTTTTAGCGGCTTCTTTTTTGAGCAACTCCGGCCCACTTTAGACCTTTTGAACTTTTGGTGGCCATGGTCCGTGGAGCAAGGAAAGCTCTTGCTGTCGGAGTTGCGGTGGCTGTCGCATGCGGTCTCCAGAAGCACTTGAATTTTGTGCCTGGGCCTCGGCATGCTGCTCCAGTGGCCGCAGCAGCAGCCAGCATGATGATGGCTCCTGCGGCTTTTGCTGATGAGATCGGCGATGCTGCAAAGAAGCTTGGGGATGCTTCCTACTCTTTTGCCAAGGAAGTGGACTGGAACAATGGCATTTTCCTGCAGGCCCCTGGCAAGTTTCAGCCCTTGGAAGCTTTGAAAGCCATTGACAAGATGATCGAAATGGGGGCGGCCGCAGATCCAAAGCTTCTGAAGGATGCAGCAGAAGCACATCACAAGGCCATTGGGAGCATCAGCGGGCCAAATGGTGTGACTTCGCGCGCAGACTGGGATGCTGTGAATGCAGCCATTGGCCGTGTAGTCGCTTCGGTCCCCAAAGCAAAGGTCATGGCCGTTTACGATTCAGTGAAAGCCATCACGGACCCCGGGGTGCCAGCGTACATGAAGTCCTTGGTGAACGGACCCGATGCCGAGAAGGCCTACCAAGGATTCCTGGAATTCAAGGATGTTGTTGAAAAGAACCAGGTGGCCACGGCCGGTGCTCCTGCAGTTGTGCCTTCTGGAGATAAAATTGGTGAAGCTGCAAAAGCGTTGTCCGATGCATCCTATCCTTTCATCAAGGACATTGATTGGCTGTCGGACATTTACCTGAAGCCGCTGCCCGGCAAGACCGCCCCAGACGCTGAAAGCCATTGACAAGATGATCGTGATGGGCGCGAAGATGGATGGAAACCTCTTGAAGGCAGCAGCAGAGGCACACCACAAGGCCATTGGCAGCATTGACGCCACTGGTGTGACGTCTGCGGCCGACTACGAAGCTGTGAATGCAGCCATTGGCCGCTTGGTGGCATCCGTGCCGAAGACAACTGTGATGGATGTGTATAATTCCATGGCTGGCGTGGTTGATTCCAGCGTCCCCAACAACTTGTTTTCGAAGGTGAACCCATTGGATGCAGTGGCTGCCGCCAAGGGTTTCTACACCTTCAAGGATGTTGTGGAGGCTTCCCAGCGCTGAAAGTGAAGACCATCAGCAGCATGAAGTTGCGACATTGCTTCAACATGCTTTAGCACACTTTTTAAATGTTGTATAGATACATAATGTTACGGACATTTGTAACAGTTTCTTGACATTTCTTGACCCAGAAGCCTCTCAAGCCATGGGAAGAAAAGCAAGATGCGCGACAAACGCTGTCAGATGCAATGCCAAACGGAGCAAAAGTGAACTCGGTAGATTACTTTGACACACTTCGACTGCCAAATTTTTGAACACTGTACATAGCAATCATACGTAAGCATGAACAACATTGAATAAACTGGAATAAACTGGGATTCAGAAATGACGGCAAGGTCGCAAGAGGTGCCTTTCTAGCCCTTCTCCATGAACTTGTGGTGACAGCCAATTTGTAAGTTTAATAAGTGTAAACAGACACTCTCTCTCTCTATAGTTATACAGTTATACAGATGTATACAGATGCTGCAGTTGATTGTGTCAAGATCAAGTCGTACCTATTCAAATGTCATTGGCTCAAGCCAGTTTTAGCGGCTTCTTTTTTGAGCAACTCCGGCCCACTTTAGACCTTTTGAACTTTTGGTGGCCATGGTCCGTGGAGCAAGGAAAGCTCTTGCTGTCGGAGTTGCGGTGGCTGTCGCATGCGGTCTCCAGAAGCACTTGAATTTTGTGCCTGGGCCTCGACATGCTGCTCCAGTGGCAGCAGCAGCAGCCAGCATGATGATGGCTCCTGCAGCTTTTGCTGATGAGATCGGCGATGCTGCAAAGAAGCTTGGGGATGCTTCCTACTCTTTTGCCAAGGAAGTGGACTGGAACAATGGCATTTTCCTGCAGGCCCCTGGCAAGTTTCAGCCCTTGGAAGCTTTGAAAGCCATTGACAAGATGATCGAAATGGGGGCGGCCGCAGATCCAAAGCTTCTGAAGGATGCAGCAGAAGCACATCACAAGGCCATTGGGAGCATCAGCGGGCCAAATGGTGTGACTTCGCGCGCTGACTGGGATGCTGTGAATGCAGCCATTGGCCGTGTAGTCGCTTCGGTCCCCAAAGCAAAGGTCATGGCCGTTTACGATTCAGTGAACGCCATCACGGACCCCGGGGTGCCAGCGTACATGAAGTCCTTGGTGAACGGACCCGATGCCGAGAAGGCCTACCAAGGATTCCTGGAATTCAAGGATGTTGTTGAAAAGAACCAGGTGGCCACGGCCGGTGCTCCTGCAGTTGTGCCTTCTGGAGATAAAATTGGTGAAGCTGCAAAAGCGTTGTCCGATGCATCCTATCCTTTCATCAAGGACATTGATTGGCTGTCGGACATTTACCTGAAGCCGCTGCCCGGCAAGACCGCCCCAGAGACGCTGAAAGCCATTGACAAGATGATCGTGATGGGCGCGAAGATGGATGGAAACCTCTTGAAGGCAGCAGCAGAGGCACACCACAAGGCCATTGGCAGCATTGATGCCACTGGTGTGACGTCTGCGGCCGACTACGAAGCTGTGAATGCAGCCATTGGCCACTTGGTGGCATCCGTGCCGAAGACAACTGTGATGGATGTGTACAATTCCATGGCTGGCGTGGTTGATTCCAGCGTCCCCAACAACTTGTTTTCGAAGGTGAACCCATTGGATGCAGTGGCTGCCGCCAAGGGTTTCTACACCTTCAAGGATGTTGTGGAGGCTTCCCAGCGCTGAAAGTGAAGACCATCAGCAGCATGAAGTTGCGACATTGCTTCAACATGCTTTAGCACACTTTTTAAATGTTGTATAGATACATAATGTTACGGACATTTGTAACAGTTTCTTGACATTTCTTGACCCAGAAGCCTCTCAAGCCATGGGAAGAAAAGCAAGATGCGCGACAAACGCTGTCAGATGCAATGCCAAACGATGGAGCAAAAGTGAACTTGGCCAATTGGAGATTACTTTGACATACTTCAACGAAGTGCCGAATTTGCCGAATTTGAACACTGTATAATAACATTGAACAAACATGAACAAACTGGGATTCAGAAATGAGGGCAAGGTTGCAAGAGGTACCTTTCTAGCACTTCTGAAAGACCTGTGGTGACTTACAGCCTATTTGTAAGTGCAATAGTGTAACATAGTGTAGACGCTCTCTGTATAGTTATACAGATGTACACAGATGCTGCAGACTCAGTTGACTTATCATTTTCTTATTAATCTTTGAATGGGCAAAACAAAGCACGAATTATGGAAACATAGTGTACACGCGTTCACAAGAAACAAGCAGCGGCTGCCACATTTCTTCCAGGTTGATACTGGCTTCTCTGTGATTGTTGGCCTTTGCATCGCTTGTTGGTACTTTGACGCTTGGACCCATCGCAGAAATGGGTTGGGCTGAAGCCTGCTGTGGAGATTTTGGACGTCTTGGACTTTCCCTCTGGGGTTTGGAACGTTGCCATGGCAGATGTTTTTTTTTGAGTTTGAAGCCTGGCTCCAGCCTCCATGATGTGTCCATGGTGGCACAAAGTTTCACATCCCAGTCCTAGCTCTGCCAAAATGCTGTTGTTACTCGCGTGGAAGTACCGAACCTTCATCCATTCAAGTGTAAGTGTAAGTGTTGTTGTTGTTGTGGTGGTGGTGGTGGTGGTGGTGGCTGTTGTAGTTCTCGTTCTTGTGATGATAGCGATCTTGTCGCAACCACTGAATCTCTAGATTTCACCAAGTGGCGTTCCCAAGGACTGGTTTTCCGTTCGCAAAACCACTGGCGTGGAGCGGCTCAGCCGTTGGCTTCGAGCGCGTGAGATCGCGGTGGTTGGTAGCTCGGGGGTTCAAAGTTTGTGGAGATCCTCTTGTGTTGAAACTGTGTTGTGCCCGTTGCAACAAGTTCACACTGCAGATTGCAAGCGCTTCATAGTGCTTGACTTTTATGCTCAGGTGTCTTTCATTTGCAGTGTAGGCAGCCTCTTGTCTTCCGCTCAGGTTGTGTTTGAGTTGGACGATGTGATGTGCTGCAGGCTCCGCCTATGGCCATAGTTGCATGCTTTGCATGGTTTCATTTTGCGAAAACTTGACCCTAATTTCTAATGGGGGAATAGAATTTAACCGCAAGAACAACATTCAGCAAGAACAAGTTCTTGCAGAGCACCCACAAATATCTTACCGCCATGTTAATAATCTATATATATATATATCTATAGATATGATAACATATACGTGTATACTATGCACTCCATATATAACCATCTCCAACAACAACATTCAACAGCCTGGCAGGTCACGTGGAGATCGCGGGGTGTCGCTGTTTCAGCTTGAGGACCCACCTGGGATCGGCAGGTGATGATTAAACCCCCATGAACCTGATACATATATGATATACAACATTATATATATATATATACATATATATATATATAATCATATGATATATGTATAATTTAATATATATATATTTATTATACATACATTATACGTATCATTAAATATGTACATGTAAGACACACACACACACACAATATCATTCTTTGCAGCCAGAAAATTGGAAGGAACCATTGGCCCAAGCGCAGGACTACTTCGCTGGCATCAGCCAAGACTTCGCCGAGGTGGCCCCTGCCCTGGCGCGCCGTGGCTACTTTTTGGCGGTGGTCAGGGCCGCCCAGCGGTGCCAGCGGTTGCCCATTGGGGATGGTGCAACCATCCAAATCATCCAAGGCATAAGGAGCTTTTGGAAGTCATGGATGACCTTATTTTATAGTGTTGAAACATGTTGAAAGCCATGGTGACTTGGGGATCCCTCATTTTTGAGAAACCCGCAGAGTACGCAAACGTGACAATTTCAGGGATACCGTCATGAGATCGGTCATGTTGGTGACCATATTGACCATCTTTGGCCAGCATTTTGGGGCAGATGGTGGAGTTTTTTTGCTGAGGTGATTCGTGGTTTTCATCCTGCCAATAGGGAAGAAAAGAGCACAGAACTCGGAGAATGCAGTGAGGCACCAGATGGCCGCTACCTGTTTCCTTGCTGTGAAGTTGTGGTTATCACTGCATTAGTTGGTGATATTGCGAGTTCTTGCAGTGCAGGGTACAGCAAAAGTACCAGATTTCATATGATTTCCATTGATTTCCTTATATTTACAGACTTTTTACAGTGTCCAAGGTAGCCCATCCCGATGGTGGAGAAAAGAGGTCGCAGAGGCCTTGGCAACCTGCATCCTCGGTTTCTCATCGGGCTTCATTACATTTTCTTCAATATCCGACTGGTCGTCAATGCAGTCGGCCTAAAACATTTAATCTCTATACAATCGATAACAATGGATAGCTGCTATAGCTACTAGTCGCACATTTCAATACATTTCATTTTGCTTCACATGAAGGCCAATGCGACAATCCCTTGGGTTCTGTTTGTAATTATTTGATGTTGAACAGCATGCAGGAAGCGAAGGATGAATTTGTGGATGGCCCGGCAACCCACATTATGTGAGGAAAAGTACGTTGCCGGCCTGACGGATTTTTGACGGTTCTGGAAGGTAGAACTGGTTTTCAAGACCTGTGCCTGGACTCGTGAAGCACACTGTCGGGTTTCAACCTGGAAAACATGTTTTGCAACCAGGAGACAACATAGACAACTAGCAACAAGGAGAACGGCATAGAGCTGCAGACATTTTGGCAGCTCAGGCCCCGAGCTGGCGCGAAAGCTGATCGCGCGGCGCTGCCCGGATGCCTTGCCCAGTTTTCAGGCCACCCATGGCCACCCTGGCAGCCCATGGGGAAGGTTCCTTTCCGGAAACCCAAAATAACCTATGGATCCTATGGTTTCCACGATTTTTAAAGTGTCAGGTCTTCCAATTGGGTTGGAGGTTGGGTGTTTTCTATGCTCGTGAGCATAGACCCGCAGGCCATTAGCACCACCCAGGACAGAAAGGCCCACCGGTGTGCGGGGGGATGGGGTTGGTGATGATCCATGGTGACAGCTGGTGACAGCTTTGAAAACTGGTGGCCGTTTTTCACATCCAGGTGGATGGCTCCAGTCTTGAGGACGCCATGCAACAAATTGCCAAAGAGTACCGGGTGCCGGCCTGGAGACTCAATTATTATTGTGGCATATTGTGGCCTCCTGCCTTGCGACGAGAAATGACAACTGAGCTGCTGAATTTGGGCTTTCAGGCCATTGACCTCAAGGTACTGTAAAACCAGTTGGTGTTGTCTTGGACTGAACATCGACCGTTATTGTAGATTATGGAGCTGGGTCCCCAAATTCTGAAGCACGCCCAAGTCAGCAAGCAGATCCATGGGCCGCGGCTCCGGCTTACCTCAGGCGAGGCGGATGGTGCTTTTTACGGTCAGCTGCTTTGCCTCTCCATGGGGTAGTGATAGAGACTTGCAGTGCTTTGAAGTGTCTTGCCACATCTTGCGAATTCTCCTGGTACATGTTTGAAAGAGACCACGGATTGCACTTCGCTTAAACTTACTGTAGATGCACCCAAGACTCACAGGTTTGGAAGGCTTGACAGAGAGCTGAGGGCAGTTCTGAATCAGCCCCCAAGATCTCTGGTCCCTGACGCAAGTCCAGCGTTCTCCTATACCCAGGCCTCTAACGCATTTGAACAAGATGGACAAGATAAGACCTGGACAGGCATTCACGTGCCTAATCCCAAAGAAGGCTCTCCCAGCAGCAACTGACCACAGCCTGTTGGCTCGCAAGTTGCATCAATTAAACGTACGGGTGTGTTTTCTCGAGCCTGGGGCCTTTTGTCTAGAGTCTAGAGATGTCTAGCGTGTTCTTTCATTTTGTTGGATGACATCCGACGAAGCCAACATATCAAAGAGGGAATTCATTCTGTTTGCTGCTTTTTGCGTTTGGGTGCAACTGGAGTACTCCCAGACATTGACCTGCCATGACTCACGGGTCAAGAGCATCAACCTTCTGGGCACAAATCGGAAAACAACCAGTCACATGATTTCGGAGATCTCTTCCGTTTGTTGCAAGGCTTCAGACACGATGATTACCAGCTACCCACAAGTCTTGATGAAGGCAAGGCAGGGAGGTTTCAGAGCAGTCTCCAGTCTGAAGTTTAAGGCTCTTTACCAAATGATTTCCAATATTTTTCTAGGACCAGCGGCGAATTGAGGCTACTTGACGCTGCTTCCAGCTGTGTTGGAACAGGTCCGTGGTCGGGGTGGGAGCGCGTCGGACGTGTGGCCTTTTGAGATCATTGAATGGAATTGGAGTCAAGAATGGATCTTGTCACCAGTGCTTTTTAGACAAGGGCACTTTCATTCCTGGCATCTCTGTTTGGCTCATCCCGTTCAGTGCCTGACATTACCTTGTGGTGTTTGGACCTTGTATGTCAATGTAGCCCGTGAGACTGAGGCGTGGGGTTTTGTCGCCAAGAGACTTTAAGACGGTCCGGCGATGGAAAAGGAGAAGAATGCTCAGAAGTGCTTGGTTCGTTGTCGATTGATTTTTCATTTGGTCATGCTAAGTGTGGGAGGGATCACTGATATAGGCTTGGCCTTTGCTGAAACATCCATGAAATACATTGAAATGCTGTAGACCTATAAGCTTGGCAAACACATGCAGAATTTTGAGAAGTAGAAAATAACCAGCCCAGTTTTTTGGTAGGTCTTCCAATATGAGCAGCACCAAGAACCTCCATGAAGGGATTTAGTATTTCATATTATGAATACTACATCATACTACTCTGTCTATACTTTCTTTCTCTGTGGACTCGCTGATGCAATGCTGCCCTTATGAAGCTTTGGCTCAGACAGTAGAAGCTAAACAGGTGAAGCTGCTGCGCGAGGAACAGGGCAGTTGGTTGCATGAACGGCCACAAGATGCTGCAAGTGCGGTCAACGACTACAAGCCCCGGGTCATGCATACTGTAGCCATAGTAGAAGACGCAGCTGAAGAGACTCTCTCTTTAGAGAATGGCTGTGCGCCATTAAGGATTGTAAGCCCGCGAGAGCAAACCGCAACAAGCCATCAGAAGCCCGTTAGTTGTTGCTATGAGACCCCACCGTTGATCCATGGCAGTGGAGGACTTGGGTTGGTCGTCGGCGCTGATGCGGTCGGATGTGACAGAAGTGTTTTATGTTGTCTTGCGTCTTGTAATATCCTCGGTTGTAGTGATTGTGACGGATACTTTCAACTCTGGCACCGTAGACACAAACAGCAGCAAACAAATGTGGATATCAGGATGCGTCTCCCACCCCTGCGGGGGGTGGACCTGCGGGGAAGCTCTGAAGTCGGAGGGTACGCGAAGGGTCATCAGATTCCAATCCTGACAGCATAGATTCAATGCACACTATAGTCACTATAATAGCTTTTGGATACACCCCAAACAACCATATACGTGAACCACAAACAGCTGCTGTTTGTTCCGTCATTTTCTACAATCACTGGATATACATGCTATACAATCACTGGATACTTTTAATGGATTTGGACAGTTGTTTTCTGCCGCGTGCATGGTTTTTGAGGCCGCAGCTCATTTCCTCAACTTGGAAGGCACCTGTGGGCATTTGTAGACACGAAACATGCGATTCGAAGAAACGAATACTGAAATGATATGGGCGGAGAACATCGAACCAGTGATTCCTGAAGAAGCTAAGCATACGACGAATGGTCAAAATTTCAAGCCCTGGGAGCCACAAATTTTGGTCACGGTCTTGGGCGTCATCCAAAGTTGGAGCATCAGCGAGGGGTTCCCAGCGCCAGGCAGGCAGAGCGGGTGTCTACTTGGAGGCCTGGATGTCTTTAGCAAGGACCAACCTCCAGAGCCTAAAGATCCACAACTGCAGCAGCTGCACCACGATTTTCGTCCATTTTTTCCATTTTGTTTGAGACTTCAACATGCAAATGTCTTCCAAAATCACTGCAGGGTTGGCAAATTGCCTGTGCATGGATGGTTTGGTGCATTCCTATACAATGGTGAATTGAGCTGTTCAAAGTAATTTTGGCGGCTTTTGGCCAACATATTCCTTGGCGCCAGAGACTCTGTTGGTGGTCATTCCACATATTCCACGTTCAAGCCGTTTCAACAGCAGTGGGGCATTCACCAGTTGAAGTATACCAGGTAGATTTTGGGGAATATCAAGGAGATTCAAGGAGAAAATATGAACAAAACCAACATAACATCATATAACATCCATATCGAATTCCAGAAGTCAGAATCAATGCCTGCAGCTGGAGGCAAGTCGACCAGCAAAGAGTGTGGCCCTCGGTGTATTGGGCTGTTCCCGGGTGGGTCCTTCCACAAGCTGGGGAAGTGCGAAGCAGCAGGACCCCCCCAACAGACCTAATTCATCTCCAGATACTTGAAGGTGATGTGAAAAAAACAACACCAAAGGGGACATTTACTAGCCCCTGTTGAACGTTTAGGATCTCAGACCTTGTATTTTGGCGTGGTGAACATTTTGAGCACCATGATTTTTGATGGTAAATACATGCAACTAATATGTATATATATATATATATTATATATATATATCATTATATATCTTATATATATATATATATATTATATATATATATATCATTATATATCTTATATATATATATGTATATACATACATACATTTGTAAGCAGTGCAGGGGTAGAGGCCGTCTCATTTGCTTGGGAGTGTCATGATTCAGAATTCATGGATTGGGAATCCCTCTCAGCCATCCAAAACGAGTATCTATTGGATAGTGATAGTGCTTGCTTGAGATTGGGCGATGAGTCCCTTGCCAAAAATGTGGTTGGGCCAGATGGTTCCATGAAAGTCTTAGCGTTTTGAGGGGGACCGCCAGAACCCGAAAAATCAATTCTAAACCCCCAAAGAGCCGCTCCACCACAATCATTACAAACCACAAGTAGTATAAACCACAATCATTGTAAATTGTAGCATTTGATTTACATCCTTGTCATATTTTATCCAAATTTATTGCACACATGATGCTGTACGTTGAAAACGCACATCACTTTGCCAGATTGAACTAGATTGTGCATTTGAAACAGTGTCTTTCAGTTCTGGACACAGTCACACGCATGACTTTTGTTGGACAACATGCTGCGAACCTTCCACCGTCATTCAGCATGAGCCCTAACACCTTGTTGAAAGCAGCAACTTGAAACCTGACATCTTCCCAGCTGTCCATGAGGAGCGTGCCCTCCTCGCCGGTGGCGGGAAAGAAGTCGGCCTTGAAGAAGACGCGCATTGCCGAGGCCCATGGACAAAGCTGTGGGCTGTGGGTTTTTTTAGATGTATTTTTCTGAGTTGTTCATAGTTTTCCTCCACGATCCTATTCTTTGAAACTATAGATACTATAGCACTTGAATGCACTTGACATCTTGGGAGGTAAAACGTGCGTTTTTCATCAAAACGCAGGTCAGTTCTCATCCCAAAACTCCGTTCCCAAAAGGCAGCTTTCATGTTTTTTCATGCGGCTTTCCAGCAGCTCGGCATGGCTACAGGAAAAACCCAAGTGTAGCGAACGCTTCATGTCGGCGTTTCGGGACCTTGCGCAAGCTGGCCTGGGCCACCTGGGCCACCTGGGCCACCTGGGCCACCCTGGGCCACCTGGTCTCCGCAGATTTGGTGTCTCTATGCGCATCAAAAAAAAGAGATGACTATCATCGTGACATAAATTTCCCATGACATGTTTTTTTTCCGTAGTGACTATAAATAGTGACTATAGATGAATCCAGGTTTTTCGGCACGAATTTTGTGACATTCCATACCTTCAGGAGCTGCTACGAGCGGCCAGTTCTGGGTTCTTTGTGTCCATTCATGATTTTGGTGCAGTGACAAAGAAACCAGTGATGCTGGCGGAATCTGGTGAATGTGAAATCATGCAACATGTCAGGCCCAAAACCCAAACTGATGAATGTAATTAATGCAGTCCATTCAATTTGATTGATACAATATTATAGAATCAATTCTGAGATGACGATTTGATATCAATGGATTGGTTGAAGGGAACATTTACAGAAAAACACATTAAACAACCATATGGACCATATTTGATGGGAAAATCCATGGTTTCCGGTTAAGATTTTCCCTTAAACCAATCCATTTGATGATAAACATATCAACATGTCCAGCAGCCTTGCCGTTGAAGGCAAAGAGCAAACCAGTGACGAACTCCTCGAAGAGTGCGGGCACCCAGTCACGTTGGGGTGGCGGGAGGCCTTCACAGATCGCGATGGGTCAAGCTTGAAGACAAAGGGTACCACAACATATATGTAATGATGATATATATATATATACAATATATATATATATATTTATAAACTAGATGTATATAATTTTATATAACACATTTTTGACATTTTTTGACCACTACAGTCACTACATCCAGTAGGTGTGTGGGATCCATCAGCCCCTCAGGTGTGCCAGACTGGCCGAGCAGCTGGAGCCCTTGGCTCGGGCGCCCAGACCCATTCACCGGTTATTGTTACCATAATGGGGGAATTTTAGCATCAAAACCATCAAAAAATTCACCGGCAAAATATAGGGTATCAATGGGTATCAATGGGTTTGACCCATAGCCAAATCACAGCTATTTTGCTGTGAACCACCGATTCCATGGCTTTTGACAGGTGAAGGAGTTGTGCGAGAAATCCGCAAAAGCTGGGCTGGGCGACGACGCCGAAGCGCGCCGCCGGCGTCTCAGGGAATCCATGAGCTGGAGAAGAAAAAATAATATCAATATCCGTTAATATTATGTATATGTATATATATATATATATACGTATGTATATATATATAATTATACTACGTTCTAAGGGAAAATCGTCCAAGAAAAGTGGAACTTCTGGGTTTCTGGGTTTCCAATTTGAGTTGGGATTGGCTGTTGTTTATTCAAGACACATTAGGACATCGACCCAAAGATTGCCCCGGGCAGTGAAGCGCCTGAGGAAATCTGAGCAAAATCTTGTTCGATGGTCCGGAGAAGGCTGTGGAGCCGGCTGAAAGGGCTACCAACTAAGACACCAGTGGAATCTATAGATTTGTATGCTTTTGTTGTAGCTTGAAGTGACTTTGTTGGAGCAATATTCAACCCAGTATGCACTGGAGTAGGGTTGCCGAATTCTGATAAAACTTGGTTGGGTGCATGGGAACGGACGACCTGCAGGAGAAAGATTCGAGCAAGGCGGATTTGGAACTCAACTTTGCATACGTGAAGACCGTGAAGGGTGAATTGCATGACATGAGCCCACCATATCCCACCATGTGATGCACCTTCTGACATCACTTGTTTTAGAGATTTTAGGGCATGTGCTTCCTGATGGATCCTGAAGGTCCCCAGTTGCCAGGCGCGAAAGGGCACCACCGTGTTGCAGTTGGCGGAGGATAGCTTGAGGCGACCCCAGGGCCCTGGGGGCCGGGGTTGGAGACTTGGAACCTCTGAGA